ATTGTCTTCTCTCATTGTCTTCTCTCATTGTCTTCTCTCATTGTCTTCTCCAATTGTCTTCTCTCATTGTCTTCTACTATTGTCTTCTCTCATTGTCTTCTACTATTGTCTTCTCTCATTGTCTTCTCTCATTGTCTTCTCTCATTGTCTTCTCTCATTGTCTTCTACTATTGTCTTCTCTCATTGTCTTCTCTCATTGTCTTCTACTATTGTCTTCTCTCATTGTCTTCTCTCATTGTCTTCTCCCGGGGTTCTGCTGTGAATTATACCTGAATGATGTCTTCTCCTCCTGCCTAGGAATGCTTGGATCGTTTCTCCGACAGTCTGAATAAGATTGTAGACAATCACGTGGTAATTATGAAGTCTCGTTTCTTCTCGTCTCCTCGCACCTCTCTATAAATGTCAGGTGACGCCCTCCACTCGGTAAAGGAGGAGACCCTGATCCTCCGCTGGAGGAGATGAGAGATTGTCTGACATCTTCTTCCATTAGGAAGGGCCCGGGCCGGTGTGGGACTTACTAAGAACACCTCGTCCCTGGGCAGGTCCAGTCCTTGAATGTGTTCCCAACACTTAGAACTTCTGCAAAGATGAGAGGAGGAGGTCTCGGCATCCAGGAGCAGGGAGCTTCTACTTGAGCAATCCAACCCAAACCACAGGAGGTTCTTCCAGAGCCGCAGCTACTATGAGGGGAGTGAGGCACTTGCCTCAGGCGCAGCTGAGAGGGGGTGCAGCGAGGACCAGTCTGGCTGCGCCCCCTCGCCCCTGTTGCCATCGCGAGCACAGGGCACCATGGCAACAGGGGCGCCAGGTGGCCAACACAGCCGCGGCTCGGCAGGGAGAAGAGGGGCGGCACCGGCTCCAGCTTCTCTTCGGATCCCCGCTGCTCTCCCCCCGCCTGTATGGGCCGAGGCAGCGGGATCAGAGGAGAAATCAAACACAGCAGGCGGTGTGGAGGGGCGGGGGGGTGTGGTTTTGTAGGAGGAGGGAACTGTCACTTTACGATGGCTGAGTGGTGAGGATAGAGGGAGCCCCATGGTCCCTGTGTGTGTTGTAGTCACCGCTCCAAGCTCCTCCCCCCCGGGATGGACTACAATCTCAGGTTTAGTTCACTGACTTGTAATTCGGCCACTTCTGTGACATCACCACGCGGGGCTTCCAGTCCAACCCCTTTCTATGTTTCTATGTGTGATGACTTGTCACCTTTGTGTGGCCTCCATCTGACCATCTTCCTTTCCTCCAACAGGAGCTCCTGGACTCCATCCAACAAAGCTTCAAACACAAACTGCATCACCTCCTGAAAGAGTGAGCTCCTCCCCGTCCAAATCCGTGTCCTCCTACCTCTGTGCCTCCCCGTCCTCCATCCTGCACCTCTGTGCCTCCCCGTCCTCCATCCTGCACCTCTGTGCCTCCCCGTCCTCCATCCTGCACCTCTGTGCCTCCCCGTCCTCCATCCTGCACCTCTGTGCCTCCCCGTCCTCCATCCTGCACCTCTGTGCCTCCCCGTCCTCCATCCTGCACCTCTGTGCCTCCCCGTCCTCCATCCTGCACCTCTGTGCCTCCCCGTCCTCCATCCTGCACCTCTGTGCCTCCCCGTCCTCCATCCTGCACCTCTGTGCCTCCCCGTCCTCCATCCTGCACCTCTGTGCCTCCCCGTCCTCCATCCTGCACCTCTGTGCCTCCCCGTCCTCCATCCTGCACCTCTGTGCCTCCCCGTCCTCCATCCTGCACCTCTGTGCCTCCCCGTCCTCCATCCTGCACCTCTGTGCCTCCCCGTCCTCCATCCTGCACCTCTGTGCCTCCCCGTCCTCCATCCTGCACCTCTGTGCCTCCCCGTCCTCCATCCTGCACCTCTGTGCCTCCCCGTCCTCCATCCTGCACCTCTGTGCCTCCCCGTCCTCCATCCTGCACCTCTGTGCCTCCCCGTCCTCCATCCTGCACCTCTGTGCCTCCCCGTCCTCCATCCTGCACCTCTGTGCCTCCCCGTCCTCCATCCTGCACCTCTGTGCCTCCCCGTCCTCCATCCTGCACCTCTGTGCCTCCCCGTCCTCCATCCTGCACCTCTGTGCCTCCCCGTCCTCCATCCTGCACCTCTGTGCCTCCCCGTCCTCCATCCTGCACCTCTGTGCCTCCCCGTCCTCCATCTCTGTGCCTCCCCGTCCTCCATCCTCCACCTCTGTTGGCGTCACTTCCTGTAAATAAGTGGCACCTGAGGACCCAAACCCATTACAGATGGCAGAGCCGGGACCTCCGGTGTCCACTCTCTTCCAGAAGAGCCCCCAAATAAGGGCTGTTCTGCCCCCGCCCCCCCCTCCTCCGTTTCCCCGTGATGGGCAGTCTCTGAAATGAGGGAGGAGTTCTGAAAGTAGACGGATCCCGGGGGTGCCGGTCCCAGAGTCCACCAGCCAGATTTCTATTGGGAGAGACTCTATAGGTTGGCTTCATTGCCACCATCACTGGAACCTGGTCCACCGACAGAGGTGCCCAATAGATCATCAGCCAATGGGAGAGAGGGCCCGGCTCTGCTAAGGGGCCACAATGTCCCTGCCCCCTTCCCGCTCCCCAATATTCCTCTCCGGGCTCTTTTCTCTCTCTCCTCTGTTGCAGTCAGAACATTTACACTGCCCCCGTCCTGCTAGTACAAGTACATGGAGGACTTCTTTCTATGACCTTCCCCCGGTCACATGACCTCTCTATGGCACGGTGACGCAGATCTCTTTGTTGTCGTTCTCCGTCTTAGAGACGTGCGTTCCTTCCGAGACAGCCGCAAAGAGCTGGAGCGCTGCCGAGAGGGACTGGAGAGCGCCCTGAACCACAATGCCGAGATTCCCCGCAAGAAGGCGCAGGAGATGCCGGACGCCGGGGTGACGGTGCAGACCTCCCGCAAGGTGTTCCGGGAGCGAGTCCTGGATTATACGCTGCAGGTGAGAGGCGGCTCCGTTCACAAAGCCATGTGACTGTCATTTCCAACTCTCATTGGCCCTTTCTCCTGCCGATGGTGTGCCCTGGGGCCATGTGACAGAGGCATGCATGGCGGTGACTGGGTGGTCATCCCACCCATAAGGAAGGTGAAGGCCACTGAGAATGGCTTGGAGAACCACTGACCGGGCTGAGATGGAGGGTGATGGGAGGGCGACTTCCGGCATCTCCAAAACCATACAAGACTGTACACCTAATCCTAACCTCGGGGGCGGCCTCTGCGGGGGACACATCCCTATCCCAAGGTCATGGAGGACTCTTTGTTGGGTTGTTACACCTTCAAGATCATCACCAACAACCACCATCGGCTCTGCCACGCTCCCTCACATATACATATCCATCACCTTCACCTTAGGCCCCGCGGCTTCCAGAGATGCATGGGGGTGTGTTCTGGGAGGCTGAGGGTGGAGGTCTCCTGACAATACGGCAACAGTAATGTCGGATCTCTGTGTGTGTGCGAGATCTGGCACCGCGTCATCGGGGGAGGGGGGGGCGGCTACGAGACCCAAGAAGAGGCAGTCAGTGAACATGGAGGCACGGGACAGAACATGCGTTGGGGAGAACAGAACAACGCACAATTCACTGATGATGGGAATGGGGGGAGAATGTTGATGGGAATGGGGGGAGAATGTTGATGGGAATGGAGGGAGAATGTCGATGGGAATGGGGGGGATAATGTCGAGGGGAATGGGGGGAGAATGTCGAGGGGAACGGGGGGAGTTCCTCTCGGACATAATGGACTGTGTAACCCCTGAGCTGGCTGCGTGTGGCTGGTAGAGGTCCTCCACACAGTGAAAGCCTCGGCCCCTCAGGAGTCCAGCGCTGAGAAGAGCGGCCTCCTCCATTTCGGCCTCTCGGGAGTCCAGGAGTTTCCTTCATTGTGCCCCAAAAATGTGATAAGAACATTGATTCCTCTGATCTCCTCTGTGTCCCCCCCACAGATCAACGTCATCCAAGGAAAGAAGAAGTTCGACATTCTGGAGTTTGTGAGTTTCCGGGACGTCCAATGACAGATATTGGGGGGGTGTCTGTCCTCGGGGATGAAGTAGAATTATTGGATGGATATTAGGGGGTCTCTGTCCTCGGGGATGAAGTAGAATTATTGGATGGATATTGGGGGGTCTCTGTCCTCGGGGATGAAGTAGAATTATTGGATGGATATTGGGGGGTCTCTGTCCTCGGGGGTGAAGTAGAATTATTAGATGGATATTGGGGGGTCTCTGTCCTCAGGGATGAAGTAGAATTATTGGGTTCTTGGATTGCTTTTCATGTAGAAACCAGCATGGTGAGCCATGGGATCGAGGGTTAGGGTTGGAGATGAGACAGGTGCTCTTTGTGCCGCTACATGAATGGACCTCAGTATTAGAAAAGGGAAACTCCCATCATCTCACCACCATCCTTCCTGACATCCCTGTCCCTGCTACTCATAGAACAAAGTGGCCCTGTCACCGATTGTGTTGTGAATCCAGTTGCATCAGTGAAATGTCCCTCTGGGGTTAGATCTCCGATGGATGTACATGAGCTTCAGGTCTGGAGAGAAATGGTGGTCAAGCCATCACATCCGCTGGACAGAGACCGGGAGATATCTAGACTTGGTTTTTGGGACGGGGGATGGTAAGAAGGTTCCCTTCCATAGTATGACTCCTTCTCTCTCTTTCAGATGCTGCATTTGATAGATGCTCAGACTTGTTTCCTGACGCAGAGTCACAATGTCCTGCAGAATGTGGAGGAATATCGGAAGACCCTGGCCGCACAGGTGAGAGGAGCGGGAGGTAATACCCCCTGGGGAGAGATGTTAGGATGACTTGGTCTGGGGAGAGATGCCAGGTGACAATACATGGGCAGACATATCCGCCACTCAATGTGGAAGCATAGTGGACACAAAGAAGTCCCCAATCAATAATGATACCACCAGAGTTGGTGAACAATAACCAATATCGGCCCTCAGTCTTGGTGTGTAGTTGCCTCCTAGTTAGACACAAACCCATATGAGCCAAACTGTCCGGACGTCTCCAGATTTCACTGACACCAAACTGGACAGTTATAGCAAAGGTCTCTTGGGGTTTGTTCACCGGCTCTGCCCATTTGGATCTGGCAGTCTGTGCCCGCTCTTATTGGCAGAACTGATCTGGCCTTTGCTGGTTGGTGGACAGAGGTCTCCTGAGCTTTGGGCTCTGACTGGACCCGTGTCAGACATTCGGGTCCTTGGTTTTACAGCGCTCGGTTGTAGCTCCAGCAGCCTTTGTCATTGTCCTGGACCTCCACCCCAATCTCGTACACCGGGCTGAGCAGAGCTCCCGTCTCTCCCAGTGAAAGTCATCTCACCTTATAATGATGCCGCCTGAACACTTGTGAGAGTGATGTACATCGCAGCATTTTGGTGATGATCCCTAGATGTTCGTTTGCCGTCTCCTCAGACCGAGGACAGAATGTGATCAGCAAGGACTTTCTTCTCCTCCCGTCATACGGAGTGCTGGGGTGACGGGTGTCTCTCATCTTATCTGTGGATCTGCAGAGCTTCTTCAGAGTCTTCATTGACCTCTTGGTGCTCCTCCATACCTGTCACTGGTCCAGGTTGTCCCATATTACTTAGGTTTTCGTAGATATAACGGTGCTCCTGGGAACGAGCAGAATTTGGATATTTTTATAGCCTGACCCAAAATTGTAGCTTCTCCAGAACTTCATCTTGGACTTGTCTTTACGTCTTCTGGGTCCTCATGAAGTTGTTGGTTTATATAGTTCTCTAAAAAATACTCTGCGACCTTCCAGAGAGAGTGGGGGAGGGGAATCACCTGACACTTGGATTGCACACAGGAGGACTCCGTCTCATGTATGGTGAAGGTCTGGAGGCCATTGGTGGGACCAGACCTTGTTGAGGGTTGTTACACAAGGGGGGGGTGAATACTTCTATGTATACAAGGCAGACTTTCTCATTGGGAAATCTATATCATTGTTTAGCTTTCATAGACCAATAACATGAAATCCAAGCCAAACCAACTCTAGTTCCAGACTGTAAGGCTACAAAATGTGGAAGGACACCAGGGGTGTGAATACTTACGTAAAGCACTGACGGTGGCTCGTGACTCCAATGTAATTCTAAAGTTCCTTTGCTGCTTGTGGCAACTGTTCACATTTCCTCATCTGTGAAATTCCTCTCTGCACACAGGATGAGGTTGTCTGAAGGCCCATAAAGAGGAACTTCATTCTGGAGGCTGAGCCCGGGCAAATCAGGCAAAGGGCAAATGACCAGTCACCTGTGGTCCCCTTACAGTCCCCCATTATGGACTCACCATGCCTTGTACTGCAGCATACGTATCTCACTGAGCACAGTAATGACCACATCTGGGGGGGGTCCCCACCACCTGGCTATGAGGAGTTGGTGGAATTATTTGGACACTGTTATGTGCAGAACTGGTCCACAAAGCTCTGCAATGTTTTTATGGAAACAGGGCGGCAGGTGAGTTGTGCCTGATAGAAAATGATGACTGATTGGTTAGACCACTCCTGGGGGGGGGGGGGGTGGGGCGCAGCCGCTAGCAGCTGGAGTGCCTTCCATCTCACACTGCAGAGATGTAGCTATGAGTTTTTTAGTCCGTTTTGACTTTTGTCCCTCACACTCCATGTGTCTCACTGCAACTGAAGCATGTGCGGACCTCTGCTGGACGATGTCCCTTTTACCTTATAAAGAAGAATGGCCGTAGTGTGATCTAGAATAATGTCCATTGTACTCTGCAGGTCCATCAGACGGTCCTACAAGGGGCTCGAGAGCACAGAGATCTGGAACAGAAGCTGATCAGCATGAAACACCAGGTGACCATGGTTTCCTCTGGATGTCTCTGCAATGCTCATCCTCTCCCTTCCAATTCACACCCCTCTCCCTTCCTTCTCCCTTCCAATTCACCCCCCTCTCCCTTCCTTCTCCCTTCCAATTCCCCCCCCTCTCCCTTCCAATTCACCCCCCTCTCCCTTCCTTCTCCCTTCCAATTCCCCCCCCTCTCCCTTCCAATTCACCCCCCTCTCCCTTCCTTCTCCCTTCCAATTCCCCCCCCTCTCCCTTCCAATTCACCCCCCTCTCCCTTCCTTCTCCCTTCCAATTCCCCCCCCTCTCCCTTCCAATTCACCCCCCTCTCCCTTCCTTCTCCCTTCCAATTCCCCCCCCTCTCCCTTCCAATTCACCCCCCTCTCCCTTCCTTCTCCCTTCCAATTCCCCCCCCTCTCCCTTCCAATTCACCCCCCTCTCCCTTCCTTCTCCCTTCCAATTCCCCCCCCTCTCCCTTCCAATTCACCCCCCTCTCCCTTCCTTCTCCCTTCCAATTCCCCCCCCTCTCCCTTCCAATTCACCCCCCTCTCCCTTCCTTCTCCCTTCCAATTCCCCCCCCTCTCCCTTCCAATTCACCCCCCTCTCCCTTCCTTCTCCCTTCCAATTCCCCCCCCTCTCCCTTCCAATTCACCCCCCTCTCCCTTCCTTCTCCCTTCCAATTCCCCCCCCTCTCCCTTCCAATTCACCCCCCTCTCCCTTCCTTCTCCCTTCCAATTCCCCCCCCTCTCCCTTCCAATTCACCCCCCTCTCCCTTCCTTCTCCCTTCCAATTCCCCCCCCTCTCCCTTCCAATTCACCCCCCTCTCCCTTCCTTCTCCCTTCCAATTCCCCCCCCTCTCCCTTCCAATTCACCCCCCTCTCCCTTCCTTCTCCCTTCCAATTCCCCCCCCTCTCCCTTCCAATTCACCCCCCTCTCCCTTCCTTCTCCCTTCCAATTCCCCCCCCTCTCCCTTCCAATTCACCCCCCTCTCCCTTCCTTCTCCCTTCCAATTCCCCCCCCTCTCCCTTCCAATTCACCCCCCTCTCCCTTCCTTCTCCCTTCCAATTCCCCCCCCTCTCCCTTCCAATTCACCCCCCTCTCCCTTCCTTCTCCCTTCCAATTCCCCCCCCTCTCCCTTCCAATTCACCCCCCTCTCCCTTCCTTCTCCCTTCCAATTCCCCCCCCTCTCCCTTCCAATTCACCCCCCTCTCCCTTCCTTCTCCCTTCCAATTCCCCCCCCTCTCCCTTCCAATTCACCCCCCTCTCCCTTCCTTCTCCCTTCCAATTCCCCCCCCTCTCCCTTCCAATTCACCCCCCTCTCCCTTCCTTCTCCCTTCCAATTCCCCCCCCTCTCCCTTCCAATTCACCCCCCTCTCCCTTCCTTCTCCCTTCCAATTCCCCCCCCTCTCCCTTCCAATTCACCCCCCTCTCCCTTCCTTCTCCCTTCCAATTCCCCCCCCTCTCCCTTCCAATTCACCCCCCTCTCCCTTCCTTCTCCCTTCCAATTCCCCCCCCTCTCCCTTCCAATTCACCCCCCTCTCCCTTCCTTCTCCCTTCCAATTCCCCCCCCTCTCCCTTCCAATTCACCCCCCTCTCCCTTCCTTCTCCCTTCCAATTCCCCCCCCTCTCCCTTCCAATTCACCCCCCTCTCCCTTCCTTCTCCCTTCCAATTCCCCCCCCTCTCCCTTCCAATTCACCCCCCTCTCCCTTCCTTCTCCCTTCCAATTCCCCCCCCTCTCCCTTCCAATTCACCCCCCTCTCCCTTCCTTCTCCCTTCCAATTCCCCCCCCTCTCCCTTCCAATTCACCCCCCTCTCCCTTCCTTCTCCCTTCCAATTCCCCCCCCTCTCCCTTCCAATTCACCCCCCTCTCCCTTCCTTCTCCCTTCCAATTCCCCCCCCTCTCCCTTCCAATTCACCCCCCTCTCCCTTCCTTCTCCCTTCCAATTCCCCCCCCTCTCCCTTCCAATTCACCCCCCTCTCCCTTCCTTCTCCCTTCCAATTCCCCCCCCTCTCCCTTCCAATTCACCCCCCTCTCCCTTCCTTCTCCCTTCCAATTCCCCCCCCTCTCCCTTCCAATTCACCCCCCTCTCCCTTCCTTCTCCCTTCCAATTCCCCCCCCTCTCCCTTCCAATTCACCCCCCTCTCCCTTCCTTCTCCCTTCCAATTCCCCCCCCTCTCCCTTCCAATTCACCCCCCTCTCCCTTCCTTCTCCCTTCCAATTCCCCCCCCTCTCCCTTCCAATTCACCCCCCTCTCCCTTCCTTCTCCCTTCCAATTCCCCCCCCTCTCCCTTCCAATTCACCCCCCTCTCCCTTCCTTCTCCCTTCCAATTCCCCCCCCTCTCCCTTCCAATTCACCCCCCTCTCCCTTCCTTCTCCCTTCCAATTCCCCCCCCTCTCCCTTCCAATTCACCCCCCTCTCCCTTCCTTCTCCCTTCCAATTCCCCCCCCTCTCCCTTCCAATTCACCCCCCTCTCCCTTCCTTCTCCCTTCCAATTCCCCCCCCTCTCCCTTCCAATTCACCCCCCTCTCCCTTCCTTCTCCCTTCCAATTCCCCCCCCTCTCCCTTCCAATTCACCCCCCTCTCCCTTCCTTCTCCCTTCCAATTCCCCCCCCTCTCCCTTCCAATTCACCCCCCTCTCCCTTCCTTCTCCCTTCCAATTCCCCCCCCTCTCCCTTCCAATTCACACCCCTCTCCCTTCCTTCTCCCATTCATTTCCCTTCCCTCTCCCTTCCAATTCACACCCTTCTCCCTTCCTTCTCACACCCCTCTCCCTTCCTTCTCACATTTCTTTCCCTTCCCTCTCCCTTCCAATTCACACTACTCTCCCTTCCAATTTACACCCCTCTCCCTTCCTTCTCACATTCCTTTCCCTTCCCTCTCCCTTCCAATTCACACTACTCTCCCTTCCAATTCACACCCCTCTCCCTTCCTTCTCACACCCCTCTCCCTTCCTTCTCACATTCCTTTCCCTTCCCTCTCCCTTCCTTCTCACACCCCTCTCCCTTCCTTCTCACATTCCTTTCCCTTCCCTCTCCCTTCCAATTCACACTACTCTCCCTTCCAATTCCCACCCCTCTCTCTTCCAATTCACACCCCTCTCCCTTCCAATTCACACCCCTCTCCCTTCCAATTCACACCCCTCTCCCTTCCTTCTCACATTCCTTTCCCTTCCCTCTCCCTTCCAATTCACACCCCTCTCCCTTCCCTCTCCCTTCCTTCTCCCATTCCTTTCCCTTCCCTCTTCCTTCCAATTCACACCCCTCTCCCTTCCAATTCACACCCCTCTCCCTTTCTTCTCTCATCCCTCTCCCTTTCCCGTCCCTCTTACACCCCTCTCCCTTTCTTCTCCCATTCCTCTCCCTTTCCTTTTCCATTTCCCTCCCATGCCCCTCCCACCGTCCACATCCTCTGTGATTACTACAAACCATTTGAAGATCTCAGTTCTTTTCTCCTTCAGTTGGAGAATGTCCACCAGATGTGACTGCCAACCAACCACCGTGCCGAATCCCTCTCCTTATTCCAGCTTTTCTTGTAGTATTGCCGGAACCTTCACACCCCCCTGACTGTGTAACATCACGTCCCTGGCTATTCTCTACGCTCCTCTCCTGCCCTCAATCTTCTGGTGTCTCTATGAACTCCTCATTCTCTATCTTCTTCCTTCTATTGCAATGCGTATAAACCAATCACTTCCCAAACTCCAAGTCCATCTTTTCTTCTGTCCATCTCATCTTCAGCTTCCCACAAATACCTCTCTCCATCCTGTATTATAGGGACATTCCTCTCTGGTCCTTTACTCTCTACTGACAAACGTCCACCATGAACTCTGACCCAACCTTGTACCACCACTAATCTGTGCGTCCCTCTCCCAAGTGTCTGAGCTTCTCCACTTGTGATGTGTATTGGCTGACTCTCTCCTTCTGCAGAATGTTTCCGATGAGGACGCCGTCTTCCAGGGTGAGGGAGACGCCTCGGAGATTGTGATTGAAGGTTACCTCTTCAAGAGGGCCAGTAACACCTTTAAGACCTGGAGCCGGTAAGGGGAATTCCGATCCTGTTTCAGAGAGGTGGTGGCAGCAAATGGGGTACAAGGTGGACAGAGGCGGGTTAGGATACCAAGCACTGGGAGGAATGGGTGATTGGTCCTGGCACTGGAGATGGGTTTTGGGGGAATGCAGTGCATCTAAGAGAGCTAAATTCGGTTGACGTAAAAATGTACTTGTTCTGTCTTCTCTATAGTCGCTGGTTTTCTATTCAGAACAATCAACTGGTTTATCAGAAAAAAGTGGTGAGTAGATGGTTTCTCCTCCAATAATCTTCATCTGTGAAAGAAATGATCTGTAAATGGAAGCTGGCCATAGATGGGCGAGTGTTCTCTGGACTCCATTCAAAGATATGAGGTCTTTCTTGAATTCTTCTGAAGAATTTGAGATATTCCAGTAAAGGATCTGAGGTCTTTCTTGGACTCCAGTAAATGATTTGAGGTCTTTCTTGGACCCCAGTAAAGGATTTGAGGTCTTTCTTGGACCCCAGTAAAGGATTGGAGGTCTTTCTTGGGCTCCAGTAAAGGATTTGAGGCCTTTCTTGGGCTCCAGTAAAGGATTTGAGGCCTTTCTTGGGCTCCAGTGAAGGATTTGAGGCCTTTCTTGGGCTCCAGTAAAGGATTTGAGGCCTTTCTTGGACTCCAGTAAAGGATTCAACATCTTGCATGGATTTCTTTGAAAGATTTGAAGTCTTTGTTGGACTCCATTGAAAGATTTAAGGTCTGCCTGTTGTCCTGATTGCCAGAACATGAGTGACAAAAGGTTTTACTCCTGATATTCAGTGTGTATTGTATGAACTGCTCCTTTACTAACCTCACATCGCCGATTACGGCCCATGTTATACTCTTCCGGCTCCTCGGTGCAAAACTTGGTATTAGTAAATTATTTCCCTATTTCATTCACCAAAATGACTGAAGAAGAAGTAGGTGGGGGATGGAAGAGGCCACCAAAGATTATTCAGAATTGTTTTCTGTATGAGGAACATCTTGTGAACCTTCTGATTGGCTGAGGTCCTGAGTCCGTGGTTGGTTGTACCTGGGAGGTGGCTCCTCTATATACATTTATGTGTCACTCCAATACCATGTGACTCGTGGCAGAAGTGCGGAGGATGTGAGTTCACCATCTTCAGGGTGACACGGTCTCTGATATCTGGTTGGGTGACTTTGTTTCCGGTATTTGGTGGGAACTCTCTCCCGGGGGGGTTCAGCAGCTTCTGGCATCCTTTAGGTTTAGTCCTACAGAAGTGTAGATGTGTAAGTCTTGTGTGATTCTCTCCCAGGATGTGGTGACGGTTGTTATCATGGACCTCCGGCTCTGCGCTGTCAAATTGTGCCCCGATGCCGACAGGCGGTTCTGCTTCGAGGTTGTGTCACCAACCAAGTGAGTATCTGGACTTCCAGAAGCTCCGATATGGGTTGTCATCCTAGTGTGACCGGAAGGTGAAGTGTTCTGACATGACCACCACCAACAATCTGATGAGGTCACCGATAGGTTGTATCATTGCCAATGTTCTATGTACTTCCTGGTCCCACTGCTGCATTGTTTGCGTTGCAGGTCCTGCATGCTGCAGGCAGAGTCCGATCGGGTCTTACAGCTGTGGGTGAGCGCGGTTCAGAGAAGCATCACAACGGCTTACAGTGAGAATAAGAGGGACAGCGGAAGTATTGTGAGTGGCACCGTGGCTGTGAGCGGGTCTGATAACGGTGGGTAGATCTTTGACAACCTTCTCTTTCCAGAGATTGCCGCGTTCACCGGCTGAGACTCCGGCACTGCAGAAGGGAGGAGCGCCGAACTCACAAGATACTATCATGAGAGTCGCAGGAAATGCGGCCTGCTGTGACTGCCGAGCCGCCGAGCCAGAGTGGGCGAGCATCAATCTGGGGGTCACCCTGTGCATCGAGTGCAGTGGAATTCACAGGTGAGAAGACTCTCGGTGACCCGGCTGGCATCTAGATGACCCGAACAAGCAATGCTTACATCTACTGACTCCTTACCTCCACAGGAAGAATGTCCCAACATCAACTACTCTTTTAGTAATATATATTTAGTTTTGCACTAACCCTCTTAGCCCGTCCCTAATGACCTCCTCTCTGCTCTCCCACAGGAGCCTGGGAGTCCATTTCTCCAAGGTCCGGTCACTAACACTTGACACCTGGGAGCCGGAGCTTGTTAAGGTAAAGGTCAGGTTTGGGGATGATCTCTGGGTCCTAGAGAGAAATTGTTGGTTCCACTTTGATCTCTGGAGCTGAGATGATGTCCAGGTCCTGGTAATGGTTGGTTCTGGTTCTGGCTGATGTCTGGGATGTTTTATATTACGGGGGTTGGTTGGCTCTGGAGACCTTGGAGTTGTCTTCTTCTGCTCGGTACACGTACCTGTGGGCGCTCTGAGCAGGTGGAGGACGTCCTGACAAGGCCGGGCCATGTGGACTCTACAGTCAGGTCCATGTATGTATGTCTGATGCTCCTTTGTCATTCCTTACAGCTCATGTGTGAACTCGGGAACGGCATTATTAATTCCATCTACGAGGCCCGAATAGATGAGATGAACATGAAGAAACCGACATCTTCCAGCACACGGTGATGTCCATTCTCCCACTCTTCTCCCGTCCCAAATGTCATTCTAAGACCTTCACCTATGACCACATATAGGGTCCATCCTTCACTTCTGACCTCCTGTAATCTTCAGCCTTCACCTATGACCTCATATAGGGTCCACCCTTCACTTCTGACCTCCTGTAATCTGCCCCCTTCACCTATGACCTCATATAGGGTCCGCCCTTCATTTCTGACCTCCTGTAATCTGCACCCTTCACCTATGACCTCATATAGGGTCCATCCTTCACTTCTGACCTCCTGTAATCTCCACCCTTCACCTATGACCTCATATAGGGTCCACCCTTCACTTCTGACCTCCTGTAATCTGCCCCCTTCACCTATGACCTCATATAGGGTCCATCCTTCACATTTGACTCCATGTAGTCTCCATCCTTTGCCTATGACCTCATATAGGGTCCATCCTTCACTTCTGACCTCCTGTAATCTGCACCCTTCACCTATGACCTCATATAGGGTCCACCCTTCACTTCTGACCTCCTGTAATCTGCCCCCTTCACCTATGACCTCATATAGGGTCCATCCTTCACTTCTGACCTCCTGTAATCTGCCCCCTTCACCTATGACCTCATATAGGGTCCATCCTTCACACTCTCCTCCAATGAGCTGCCATATTTTGCTTACCTTGAGCGGGCTGCTCATTGCTCACCCTTCTAGGATTGGCCTTATTATGGGGCCGATGGCTGTGAATGTTCTTTGTGGGTCGGGATATTGGTGTCTGTATACAATTCTTGGCATGGAGGCTCTTGGTCCACTCTTCGGGGGTTCTGATTAATGATATAGGGCCATAGTATGAGGCCATTGTGGGTCTCCTGTCTGTAGACGGTCTCGGAGCCTCCACGGAGGTCCTGGTATCCGGGTGACTCTTCTGAAATGTAGGAAGTCCACTCGACGAAACTTGTTTTATCTTCTGGTTCCAGAAGCGAGAAGGAAATCTGGATCAAAGCAAAATACGTGGAGAAGAAATTCATCACCAAACTTCCCCAGATGGCTCTGCGCAGCAACCCGCATCATGATAACTCCTCCTCCTCCCGGCCAATCAGCAACCCGGAGAGCAGGACCCTGGAGGTCAAACCCTCCACGGCATCCAGCAAGTGGCCACCCAGCAACATGGGAAGAGAAAGCAGCCAGGCGGACGCAGGTCCCGTAAAGGCCAACAGAGAGGCGGGGCCTGAGATTAACCGACCAATCAGCCGACTACACAGGCCCTCTAAACCTCACCTGAAACCAAAGCCAGGGACAGCTCCTCCCCCACCCGGCGGTGAGTTTCTGTGCGATGGGTAATATATAGACATAGAACACAGAGGCCGCTCACCAGAAATGCATTGTGGCCCTACAACCCACACATAAAATGTCCGCGCCATGAGGAGGAGGGATACAGGACTCTGTGCCGTGACCCCTCCCCCTCTCACCTGTCCATCATGTCTCCACACAGCTGCCATGTCCGGAAAAGATGACGGGACTGATGTGCGGAATCTCCATCCTGGGGCCCTTCTGTACCGGGCCGCTGAACACCGATATCTCCCCACCATGGCGGACGCACTGGCGCACGGTGCCGACGTGAACTGGGTACGCAGTGACGAGGATGGGCGGACCCCCCTAATCCGAGCCGTGCTCTCTGTAAGTGACTTCTCCTCTGTCATGTATCACGCTCTATCACCGCGCCCTCTCCTGACATCAAACTTTCCGGCCTTCAGGATTCTCTGGTGGCCTGCGAGTTTCTTCTGCAGAACGGGGCGAGCGTCAATCAAGCCGACAAAGATGGCCGAGGACCCCTCCATCATGCCACGCTGCAGGGCTACACGGGGTACGGAATCTGCCCCTTGGACTGACGGTGACACCTCTCCTCACATGTGGCCTGCTGATGGCTCCTCACTCTCATGTTGTCCCTTCCATTGTGTGTCACACCTCGCTCCTTCCCGTGTTATCATCCATCTTATCTTCTCCCTAAGTCACCCCTTGTCTCCTCCATGGATGGTCCTCACCTAACATTGTCCTTTCCACTATCATGTCTCATCTTCTATTTGTGTCATCCATCATCTCTTCCATGGATGGTCCTCATCTATCTTCATTGTCCTCTCCACTGACATGTCCCCCTTCATCTTCTATATGTGTCATCCATCATCTCCTCCATGGATGGTCCTCATCTAACATTGTCCTCTCCACTGACATGTCCCCCTTCATCTTCTATATGTGTCATGCATCATCTCCTCCATGGATGGTCCTCACCTAACATTGTCCTTTCCACTATCGTGTCTCATCTTCTATATGTGTCATCCATCATCTCCTCCATGGATGGTCCTCATCTAACATTGTCCTCTCCACTGACATGTCCCCCTTCATCTTCTATATGTGTCATCCATCATCTCTTCCATGGATGGTCCTCATCTAACATTGTCCTCTCCACTGACATGTCTCATCTCATCTTCCATTGTGTGTCACACCTCGCTCCTTCACGTGTTATCATCCATCATCTCAACTGTGGTCTCCTCTGATGTCCCATCTTATCTTCTCCCTAAGTCACCCCTTGTCTCCTCCATGGATGGTCCTCACCTAACATTGTCCTTTCCACTATCATGTCTCATCTTCTATTTGTGTCATCCATCATCTCCTCCATGGATGGTCCTCATCTGTCTTTATTGACCTTCCACTGACATATCCCCCCTCACCTGTCATGTCACCTCTCGTCTCCTTGTGTGGTCCTCAGCACATATCTTTATCACCATGTTTCTCCTCATCTCCGTCCCACCTCCTCCCTGACCTTCCCCCGTGTGCCCTCATCTGTCATATCCCCGCCCCTCCCCTTGCTGTGTCCTCATCTCCGTCCCATGTCATACCTCCTCCCTGACCTTCCCCCGTGTGCACTCATCTGTCACGCCTCTCATGGCTCCTCCCCTTGCTGTGTCCTCTCCTCTCCTCCATCCCATGTCATACCTCCTCCCTGACCTTCCCCCGTGTGCACTCATCTGTCACGCCTCTCATGGCTCCTCCCCTTGCTGTGTCCTCATCTCCGTCCCATGTCATACCTCCTCCCTGACCTTCCCCCGTGTGCCCTCATCTGTCACGCCTCTCATGGCTCCTCCCCTTGCTGTGTCCTCTCCTCTGTCCCATGTCATACCTCCTCCCTGACCTTCCCCCGTGTGCCCTCATCTGTCACGCCTCTCATGGCTCCTCCCCTTGCTGTGTCCTCTCCTCTCCTCCGTCCCATGTCATACCTCCTCCCTGACCTTCCCCCGTGTGACCTCATCTGTCACGCCTCTCATGGCTCCTCCCCTTGCTGTGTCCTCTCCTCCAGGTTGGCTTGTCTGTTCCTGAAGAGAGGAGCCGACATTAACGCCTTGGACAATGAGAAGAAGGACGTTCTCTCCATCGCCATAGAAACAGCCAATGCCGACATTGTAACCTTGTGAGTCGGGGGAGGGGATTCTGGGAAATGATGGGATAAGAATGTCACATGGTACAGCTAGAGATGCATGTCGGGTCCGCCCGCCATCTATGTATGTAGTAATGTGATGTCCTTGGGGCCACCCTGACCAATGGGAGGGCCACAGACGGGGTGAAGGTATGTTATAGGAAAGGTCATGGAGGGCCACAGACGGGGTCAAGGTATGTTATAGGAAAGGTCATGGAGGGCCACAGACGGGGTCAAGGTATGTTATAGGAAAGGTCATGGAGGGCCACAGACG